GAGGGGCGGGATATAAATAAAAATTATTATTATTATTATTATTAGAGATTAGAACAAATAGAACTAAGAGATTAGAACAAAGTCAATATAAAATGTGCCTGATCTGTAAATCCAATTACTTATTGTGGCGATCATGTTGCAATGTAGGCCAGTTGTTTTTCTTTGCATGGTTTATTACACTGGGACACCTGATGTAGTCCCAGATTCAAGATCCTTTACATATGTATCTTTTTGTAGTTGTGTGCTTTCAAGTCACTTCCAATTTATGATGACCCTACAGCGAAACTATCATGGGGTCTTCTTAGCAAGATTTGTTCAGAGGAGGTTTGTCATTGCCTTCCCCTGAGGCTGAGAGCATGTGGCTTGGCCAAGATCACCCAGTAGGCTTCATGACAGAGCAGGAAATTGAACCCAGTCTCCAGAGTTTTAGTACAACACTCAAGCCACTATGCCATGCTGGCTCCCATTGACCGGGATATTATTTTATTATATACCTAATCTAACGAGTGCTTGCACAATGTTCTGATTATCATACTTTCAAACAAATATGCTATTAAAAAGTGATGTAATACTGTATATAGTATTATATCATTATTTTCAACAAAGCAAAACAGTAATTGCCATGTTATTGATTTCAGTGGGAGTGTTAGGGAAATGTCTAATGGCATTTAATGTGGTTGGGTTATGCATAAAACCCAGAACATAACATAGTAAAAATACTTCCTTGTCATTGTTTACTATTCAGTGTCACAGTTTACAGCCTACATAGTTCAGTACAGCAAGACTGAGCTATTTTATTGTGGTTGCAACAAAATAATCCCCATTTTGGTGATGGGTGATGAGTTTTATCAGCTATAGTTTGTTTTTTTTAATGAGTGTCATGTCAGTAGGAACACAGTTTCAGAAAGTTTCTTTAAAGTAAAATCCCACTTTTTATATTTTACTTCAACGGTTCTAAAAGTCATAAAATTACACCTACTGTAACTAAATTCAATTTGAAACTTGACATTAGCCCATAAATCAAAGAAACTAATATAGCAGTTTTTGTTCAGTTTCTCCCCTTAACAGAACTTCTACAAGTGTTTTTCCCCCCTCACAACCCATAACACTGGATTCAGGATACAAGGTCAAATGTGAGTAGAATTTTAACTAATGCATATACAATGTGAAAAACCCCTTATCTATTCCAGTCTTGTTGCCCTATCTTGTATATACAGTTCTACTACTCAAATATAAATGATTTTGAAAGGTAGATTTTTTTTCTTGTACTTTTATTTATTTCTTGTAAATGAGGCTATATAATACTTCTGGGGAACTGCTTGAGAAACTTTGTTTGAAAATGTTAAGCAAAGGGTTTTCAGGAGAAAACCAAAGTTGCTATCTCTTAAACATCACAGATTTTGAAAATATGGACAAAGTGAACAACTTAAAATCTTTGCCCTTCTTGTATAAGAAGTCACCATATGAGCTACCTCTGAGGTATTCATTTATCAAATCCTGATGTCTGTTGTCAGGGGTGTTCCTAGCTATGTGTGGTGGGTGTAGAACACACTGGGTGATACTTGGGGGGGGGGC